GTCTTAGGCTGGGTCATGCCAAATCATTGTTGCAACAGCACCGGTCTTTGAACAGAATCCAGCACCTTTTCAAGGAGCCCAGATCTCAGCTGCCTCCTTGGGCTAGCATTGCTCAGTTTGCTTCCTTGCTTCCTTAGTAACAACCAGGTATCATAGGCTTTCAATGTGTGTTTTTTCCAGATTTCCCTTAGACTGAGTTATTTAATTGCTAGTGATTTCATGGCGAAGTGCATTCGCCAATATGTTACAAGCTTGTTTTGCTTTCAGATTAGATTCTCCCATTTTAACATAGAAAAGGGACGGGGGAGGTTCAAGAGACACATTGCAGGCAACCAAAGAGGAGTGGAGATGGAAGAATGTCCAAATTTCAGTGGATCCAGATGAAGGCAATACCTATGCTCTTCCTTTAGAGTAGGGTTACCAGATGTCACCAGTTCCCAGATTTGCAAATAATAATTAATAATAATAATAATAATAATTAATAATAATAATGCCTGGTTCCCTGTAACTTGGCTTCTCGCAGTGAGGGAACTGCCAGAAGGCCCTTGGTGCTGGACCTCAGTGTCCGGGCTGGACAATGGGGGTGGAAACGCTCCTTCAGATATACTGAACCGAGGCCGTTTAGGGCTTTAAAAGTCAGCACCAACACTTTGAATTGTGCTCAGAAACGTACAAATAAGTCCCCAGACAAATTCCATCCCCGGAATGTCCCCGGATTTCATCTAATGTCCCCGGGAAACGCAGCAGCGGCAGTCTCAGCAGCCCGGAGCAGGCTTCAGGAGCTGCTCAGAAGTTCCCATATGATGGTGGTGCAGGGGCTCTAAGATGCAACTTCCGGGCTGCCTCCACCTTCCCTGACCCCAGCAACTAAGCTGTGAAGGGAGGCTTCATACTGCCTATTGGAGCAGTCTCCCAACTCCTACTTGCATGCAAGCAGGAGCAGGGCAGGGATCTCTCAGCTTTGAAAGGAGGCTTCACACTGCCTATCAGAGCTTGCATGCAAGCAAGAAGGAGCAGGGATCTCTCAGTTAGGCAACAGGAAGCCTCGCTTCCCAGCTGAGGGATCCCCGCCCCCTCCTGCTTGCATGCAAGTAGGAATGGGATTGGGGCTGCTCTGATCGGAAGGGAGGCTTTGCGCTGCCTGAGAGATCCCTGCCCCATCCTGCTTGCACACAAGTAGGAGTTGGGATGGGGCTGCTCCAAAAGGCATCACCGCAACGTCCCAAACGTGTAGTTAGTATGTATGTACGTATTTAAAGTGTCCCTGGATTAATTGAATAAAATCTGGTAACCTTACTTTAGAGAAGTTGGTTGTTGTGTCAGGCGGCTCAACAACTATGGAAGAGCCTGCAGGCAACAACTTACTTGAGCCAAAGGCAAATTGCATGTGTTTAATTGGAGGGAGGATTGTACTCAATTTAATTGAGCGAAAGGGAGGATTCCAGTTGTCACAGACTGCACACAGATTCCGTCCTCAGACCCAAAAGCGTGCTATCAAGTTACAAGGATTAAAACCTTCACCGGAAGTTGCGCTGGGTCCCTCCTACTGAGCAACAGCCAACGCTTGTTTGTTGAACTATGCCTTCATTTTAAAAAACATACACGAATCCATTCGCTCTAGACTGGTCATGTGACCAGAGGCAACATTCCAAAAAGTGAGATCACCTGTAAGGATTTGGCCAGTGTAATGCTAGATGGTTACATGATACATCAAAGTTCAAGAGAGTGTGTGTGTGTTCTAGCAAATTCACAGCCTTTGTGGAGAGAGCAGGAAGTTGCAGGCCTTCTTATTGTACCACAATGGGCCTAAGCAGATCAAGTGCTCTTGATGGCCACTCACTTTCACAGCAAGCCCAGATAGCATAAGAGCAACTGCTGAGTGCTTAAGGAGGACTGGAAATACCTTTGTTTTTTACTCTAAACTCAACGAGCAATTTTAGCTAAACTTAAGTTTACATCAGTGTTGGAGCCTCGTAATGAGCAGTCAGTGGCCGCAAGCAGCAACTTATATAGGATATATACACGCAGGAGAAAAGATCTGGCTATCCAACTATAATAATACAAAATATAGCTGCTGGAATACAGCTTCAAACTGTGAGGTCAATGTGGTATCTGGAATGTAGATACAGATGCATAGATATGAAAATAAACATATAGTTACATTTGTGGTGGAAGCGAAATTCTCTCTTAAAAGAGGCACATTCGACTATTTACATTCATTTCCAAGAAGCGTAGGAATTTTTCAATATTGCAGTGCAATATCAAGTAACTTGTGGCTTCCCACTCATCCAGAATGTAGCCCCTTATAGGGAAATCAATCTTTTCCCCCCAAAATGAGAGCAGTTCAACACGCATAATTATATATCCCACATTCATATCTCTGGGGCTGTTATCAAATTCCAGCAAAGAGTGTGACCCTGGCCTAGGTCTGGTAGAATGTAACTACTAGCAATACGGAGATCTATCTACATATTCATAAGCTTAATCAGGTCTGGAGGAGCATCGCATTGAGGGTGGGCATCTGTAACATGAGCTTGCAGATCTCCCTGCTAGAACAAAGAGGGCAACTCTTTCCATTTGCAGCAGGGCCACCCAAGTGTCAAGGCTCTTCATTGGAGTTAGATATTTTCAGACATGCGGCCACTTTTATATACTGCAACATTGGTAGAAAGAGGAACGCATCACATATCTCCAGCCATCATGAAGTTCTTCTATGTTTCAAGGTGGTATGAGGCCTGGTAACCTCCATGCTTTCCCTGATTAAGAAAGCAAGGTTTATTGGATTCCCACAAATTCATATTTTTATTATTTTTATTAATTACCCACCCTTCACCCTAACGTCCAGAGTGGGTTACAACAATTAAAACACAATGTTACAAAAACTAGATTAAAACAGCTTACTATTAGAGAAACAACTTGGATCATAAAAAATATGCAACTTGGGTGTCAAAAGCCATGGTAAAGAGGCATGCTTCTACAGTAGTGGCCCAAATTGTGAAAACCTTTTGAGAAAAGGGTATTTCTGAGGTTTGATGGCTCATAACAACACTTTTTTGGAGTAATACCATAAAATTATATATCAATGGAAAGATATTTTAATGAAGAATGTAATGCAACAAAGTTTGTTCAGTTATCTGTATTCTATAAAATGTTATAGCCCAATAACCAGAAAAAAGAAGCACAACTTGCTTAGGTTGATATGCAGTAGCTTTTCTCCATTTGAATGTAGCCAATGAGCATGAGTGTTTAGAGAGCCAATCAGGTGTCATCTTGTTTTGGCAATGATTCAATCACATCACAGTAGGATTCAGCTCTTGATGTTATGTACTGGAGCTGAGAGGAGGACATTTGTCAGTGTGCTGTGTGATTGCTATCAAGTTGGTTGGGGTTTTTGTGTTCTTTCATTTAGCGGGCTTGTAAAATGTAATAAAATTAAAGAAATGGAGCAAAAAAGTACTGTTATGAGCCACCAAACCTCAGAAATACACTTTTCCCAAAAGGTTTCCACAATTTTGGCCACTAGTGTACATTGGGGTAAAAAGAACGATGATATGAAGTGTTCTGCACATTGACCAACTGAACTTCTCTAGATTGATCGTTACTATCTTTTAACACATAATAATCTATTTATGTACATTCTGTACACCTGCACCTTTGAAAAAATATTCATGTATCTCCCAAGAAGGGGGGGTTTCTGTAAATGTAAATTTTACATGCATACAGATCAGAAGCAATGTGGGCTCTGAGTTGCTAGGCAGATTATTCTCATCCACATGCCTTTGGGTTCTTAAAGCATGTGCCTTTCTCTCCCTGCTTTACATGGTGCCACTTTAGTCTACTGGAGATTGTCTGTGCCTGGTGCTCATCATGCATTTTGGAGAGAGATGAAGATAGGAGTAGGTGATTATTTCAATTATCCCTATTGCACAAAGATAGGCTATGTTGTCATTCCCTGTTTACAAATGGGAAACGTCTGTAATTAACGATTGAAATAGGTGATTAGGAAGCCTCTCATTGACTGAGTATACAGATTCTGTATATCACCACGCCAGCACTGAACTATAGTAAACTTTAATGAAACTCCTACCGGGAACTTCCAGATGTTGTTGGACTCCAAATCCCATCAGTCCCAGCCTGCATAGCCAATGGTCAAGGATGATGGGAGATGGTCCTACAACACCTGGAGAGATATAGGTTGACCAGTCTTGCTTTAAATGGTTCCTTCACTCCTTCCCAAGAAAGTCACCATTCATAATTCTAATTTGCTAAGCAAGAATTGAGTAACATACTGCACTGGGGGAGGTTAGGAGTGTTTGACCTTAATCAATTCCTTAATTATTTGTCTAGACAAAAAAGTCTATGGGAAATAGATGATAGCTGACTGTAAGTCAATGACCTACAAAAGCCAGATTCTGAATCGTCTCCACAAGTTAAAGTATTGTCATTACAAAGATTATACAAATACAGTGATACCTTGCTTTATGAACTTAATCCGTTCCGGAAGTCCGTTCTTAAACCAAGGCGTGCTTTCTAATTATTATTATTATTATTATTATTATTTATTATTATTAATACTCCACCCATCTGGCTGGGTTTCCCCAGCCACTCTGGGTGGCTTCCAACGAAAGATTAAAATACAATAATTCCTCAAATATTCCCATAGCAGTGGGGGGACTCAATTTACAAATGGAACACACTCAACAGGAAGCAAAACATGTTCTGCTTCCAAGGCAAAGTTCACAAACCCTAACACCTACTTCCAGGTTTGCAGCGTTCTTAATCCAATTTGTTCATAAACTAAGCTGTTCTTAAACCAAGGTACCACTGTACACCATTACACTGTCTGATCAACTCATAATACAAGATGCATAGTAACAGTTTATTTCAAATTGTGTGCTGCTCACACTAACTCTGTCATGGTTGCCAAACCAACAAGGAGGGGCGAATAGGGAAAAGGTTGCAATTCTATTTCTGACTTACTTTGTAATATTTTTTTCTAGGAAGGAAGGAAGGAAGGAAGGAAAGAAACCTGGAAATATTATGATCGATATCATTTTGACCAAGAACATTGGCATACGGCAGTTGATGTGAGTACCTATCCAGATATCCCTTCTCAGACTTTATTCATCTCATACTCCAAAACTTCAGTAACAAAATCTGGACTAATCAAAACAAAAAATAACAAGTAGGTATTTTGCCTGCTGTCAGCACAGGGGAGTCATAGAACCTGGCTCAAGCAAGATCCAAATTCATCCCCATTCCCATCCCAGCTTGTGGCATCCCCAGAGCAACAGGATTTTTGTGAGAATCCATGGATTTTTGTCAATCTTGCCTCGGAAGACCCCTGGTCATCCAAATTAGATCTTTCTTACAAAACTAAACACTAATAGTTTAGAGCAGAAGTAGCCAGTTAGGAGCTCACAGTCTGCACACAACTCCCAACTTAACCTTACCAGGCCTTCCCAAGAATGTTCGTACTGTGAAAAAGCGAACTTCCCACATTTCTGTATTCTCTTTTGGGGAGTTGTAAGCAACCTGCAAATGTATATATTTACGTGCAATACTCTGCCAGAACGGATGTGCTGCAACTGTAAGATGCTCTTACTTTTAGTTGTCCCCAACTTCGTTGCGAAGCTAGAATAAGGGTTAGGAAACCTACCCCATTCCCCCAAGTTGCTAGACCACAACTCCCATCATCCTTGGCCATTGACCATGTTGACTAGGGCTGATTGGAATGGGAGTCCATCAACATCTGTAAGTCCATAGGTTTGCCACCCCGGCGCCAGTCTATTTCTAGACTATGGAGCTCTGCTTAGAGAACATGAAGTTATGGAATGACATAGGAAGTTTCCCTATACTGTTGTTGTTGTTGTTGTTGTTGTTTTGTTGTTTAGTCGTGTCCGACTCTTCATGACCCCATGAACCAGAGCACGCCAGGCACTCCTGTCTTCCACTGCCTCCTGCAGTTTGGTCAAACTCATGTTAGTAGCTTTGAAAACACTGTCCAACCATCTCGTCCTCTGTCGTTCCCCTTCTCCTTGTGCCCTCCATCTTTCCCAACATCAGGGTCTTTTCCAGGGAGTCTTCCCTTCTCATGAGGTGGCCAAAGTATTGGAGTCTCAGCTTCAGGATCTGTCCCTATACTAGAGTTGCTATATTCCCTAAAGTGAAAATCTGGACAGAGTTGTTGAGCTTCCCCACCCCCTCTTTTGACAGTGGGGGTTGGGTTTTGGGCCTTCTGCATGTTACACCCTCCCACTGAGCTATAACCCTCCCAAATAGACCATAGGGGCACCCAAGAATATAGAAGATTAAAATGGTCGCACATCAAGCCTTTATTCCTGCAAACTGGAATCTGTTGTGCTAAATATTATTTTGGATCAACTCCCAACAACTGTATGTGGCTCATAGGTCGACACAAGTATACATTTTTCCTACATGACTCAATTGTTATCCTGTGGCGACTTGTGGCAGCACTCAAGTGAACAATGAAGGTGAAGAATATCGCGCTGCAAAGAAAATTGAATCATAAAGTCAATGGTGTTTTCCCCTCCCCTTTGGACATGGATTTTAATGGAGTCTGGATTGTCCTCTTTATAAAAGACACAACCATGACAACATGAATCCTGCTTATGCAGGCACTACAGGTTGCATTGATTTTTAATGGGATTTAAGTATGTTTCTTTCTTTCTTTCTGGGCTGAGACCTCGGGCGTTTGTTTTAACACACCCGTTGGGTTCGGTGCATGGCTGGGAGGCTCTTTCCTACCAGCGCCAATTAAAAACAGCAGCAATAAAATGTAATTAAATTTGTATATATTAAATAAAAACAGACGGAAAGCAATCTCCAAGGGAGCACCTGCGTGGATAGTTGTTATGTCAGCACACCGCCCTTCCAAGGCTCTGAAGGGGGAAATGCAAAGCATATTGTTTTAAAATGGACATAAAATGCTACCGTTTCTTATTCACTCCGGTGGTTTACCAGTGTTCAAAACAGGTTAACAAGCTCCTTTTTATGTATCAGTGATAACTGTGGTTTTCAGAGTGTTTTACGGTTTGCAAACTGCTTCACGCAGGATATATCTGTGCAAAATAATTATGCTTCCTTCCAACCACCGTGGTGAGAGGAGAAGCAACCATCTTACAAGTCAAGCCTACCCAGATATGTAGTATGTTTACATGTGTTTTATTCAGTTATGGTTAAAATTATTCTTTGAATAGATGTTTTTGTGGATAATTCTACCGCTTTATTCTTTTCGTAAACCGCTTTGAGGTTCTCCCCCGCCTTACAATCAAGCAGGATATAATTTTTTATGAAGTAGATATAAATAAATAAATGAGTTCTTCCGCTCTGAGCTGCTGGTGAAGACTTCAGTCACCGCCAAAACATTCCTTGACTAACAGATGCAACAAGGATATTAAAATCTGGGGCAATGTTCCATAGAGGAACCTTTTCTTTTTTGAATAAATCCATGCAGGAGCCGATGATATCCTTGCAATAATATGGCGGAACAGGCTCAGAAGCGTGCATGCATATATATGCAAAATATAAAACGTTCAGAGTTACAGCAACATTCAGGGTTACAGCAAATTACAAGTTATTCCAGTTGCAGCTGCTAGCAAAGGATTCAGTTGCTGCCAATGCATTCCTTGATTGAAAGACATCGCAATTTGAAGGGATAGAGCAGTAATCGATTCCTCTTCAGTTTTCTCCAGGCTTCAAATCAAACTTGGAATATGAGCGTGGTCTGGCTCAGCCTGGAGACCCTGCAACACAGAGAGAAAGCTTTTTCCTCACCTCAGACCGTGATATCCGCAGTAACTCCAGCAGTGTGCACCCCGAGGGACCACAGAATGTGCATTTGTGGTTCGATTGAGATTATCTATGGTACTGTCCATTATGCATAGTACGTCCAGAGAAAATCACTCCGACATTTTTGTAAAAACAGATGGGTAATTGGCCCATGAGATTGCCGCTTAAAATTGTGCTGGGTAGGGAAGTTATGTCTGCAACCCATAAAGTAGATAGATTTGCCAAGATGGCAGCAGAAATTCACACAAGTAACCTGGCCGGGTGGGCTATTAATTGGAAATGCAATGAAACTCAACAGTAGTATCATATATAATCATTGAAGTTTCTGGTGGCTTCCCTCTACGCTCGAAATCTGCTTAGTAATATATGCGCATTTTGATATTCCGCAATATTTTTTACAACTCTTTGGATCACGCCATAAATTTGAATCAATAGAAGTATTTGAGGCTCATGGACTGCAAGAAGATCAAGCCTCTCCATTCTGAAGGAAATCAGCCCTGAGAGCTCACTGGAAGGACAGATCCTGATGCTGAGACTCCAATACTTTGGCCACCTCATGAGAAGAGAAGACTCCCTGGAAAAGACCCTGATGTTGGGAAAGATGGAGGGCACAAGGAGAAAGGGACGACAGAGGACGAGATGGTTGGACAGTGTTCTCGAAGCTACCAGCATGAGTTTGACCAAACTGCGGGAGGCAGTGGAAGACAGGAGTGCCTGGCGTGCTCCAGTCCATGGGGTCACGAAGTGTCGGAAACGACTAAACGACTAAACAACAACAACAACAACATATCCAAATAATTTCAGTGGAATTTAAGCACCCTAAAGATTACAGGAGGCCCCTTCACTTCTGAATGATAGCGCCCTGTCAGTATACTTAACCTTTTCCAGTATTCACACAGGCTAGGTATATATTAATGGCTTAAAAAGACAGTGAGGTCATTTCCTCGCCTTCTCTGCATATCAAGTCACATTTGCACATCTGAGATGGGATGGAGATGTCTTCACCCAACGCATGTTACCTGTTTGGTTTCCCCATGCCTATGACCCCCTCCAAACTCCTATTTGTGAAGCTGTCATCTGTACATGTGTGTCATCTGTACGTGTGCAACATCTCTCTCAAATGTGGACACCTCAGCTTAACCGCGATGTACATTTTCAAATCAGATGGCAGCTGGTTGAAGGAGAAATGCAGGGGCATACCTAGGGGTTGGCCAGTAAAGTAAAGGGACCCCTGACCATTAGGTCCAGTCGTGACCGACTCTGGGGTTGCAGCACTCATCTCGCTTTATTGGCCGAGGGAGCCGGCGTACAGCATGGCCAGCATGACTAAGCTGCTTCTGGCGAACCAGAGCAGCGCACGGAAACGCCGTTTACCTTCCCGCTGGAGCGGTACCTATTTATCTACTTGCACTTTGACGTGCTTTCGAACTGCTAGGTTGGCAGGAGCAGGGACCGAGCAATGGGAGCTCACCCCGTCGCGGGGATTCGAACCGCCGTCCTTCTGATCGGCAAGTCCTAGGCTCTGTGGTTTAACCCACAGCGCCACCCGCATCACAGCTCTCTACTCTGGCAGTTTGGAGGGAAAACAGTGAGTGGACAGAGGGAGAAAGGGAGGCAGGAAGGCAAGCAGACAGACTAACAGAGGGTGGGGAGACCCAACCCCAGTGGCCGCTGAGGAAGTCACTGGTGGAGCACAAAAGGTGGCAAAAAGCAAGCTTTTTTAGTTTCTGGTCCATGGTCTCTCCCAGCTTCAGAGGCACCAATACATCTCCTTGACCAGGACACAAAGAAACCTAAGAACACCTCTGAAGAAATGTATCAGCCATCAGTATTTCCCAAGAAACTGCAAGATAGATATGTATTGTAGCTAACAACATGTATACACAGCTTCAGGCACCAGCTGTGGGAGCGCACTGGAGCCAAAGTAAATGGCAATGTGTACACAGGCCCACACAGGTCTCTATGCGCTGGGTAGAATCTGTCTAACACAAACGGCTTCAATCTCTGATATGAATTACTATAAAGCAATGCAATAAAAATGCTACAATGAGTTTTCATATCTTTCTTTTATATCAATCCTTTAAAATCTGTAAAATCAACAGTATAGCACTATAGCTCAGTCCATGCTATCTGAGGCTGATGGGAGTTGTACCCCTACAACATCTGGAGTCTGAGGAACGCTGCTGTAGCTTTTTCGGAGGAAAAGGAACAAATTGACAGTATCCATCCAAAACTTGCCTTCAAGTGTGACTGTGAACCTTGCAAAATAATGTTCTCATTCCTCAGGAGATCAAGGCTGTTTTCATACATTATTGTCAGGCTCAGCACCTCTCCTTTTTGGAGATTCCCTAGTTTGTGGAAATCTGGATCGGCTGGG